CCCTTTCTAAGGAGAAGAAAGGGGGCCTTTGCTCAAATCTCATCTGCTAAAAACCATAACCGCTGTACACAGTCTTTCAAATGAAAGCAAAAACTACCATCGGATCATAGTCCCATCTTTTCTGTGCTATTTCTAGATGAGATCTGTTAGAAACATATCAGGATGGACTGTAAAAAATAATAGCTTGAGAGTCCTTAGGCTGACTTAATACTGTTTCACTTGCAATCTGCCAAAGCTTCGTGATCATCCTGAGTCTTACCTGGGCTCCTCTAGCACCACTTTCTCCAAAGCTTTCGTCACCAGTGCAGCCTGTTGAACTCGTTACAGCACGAAGTACCTCCAGCTCAGTGATTTCTCATCGTACTGGCATACGAAGGCAACCGGGGAGCTACGGACCTCCTGCACGTGAGGATGGCTGCATTTGGAGCCGACTGCAGGCAACGGGAACACTGTAGGACATAAATATACACAGCAATGGATGAAAATGCTAAACATCGCCAACTTCTAGCAAGCACTTAAGGTTACACTCTTCTATCGAGTAAGGAGTGGCACTTCATATTTCTAAATATGAAGCAAATTCCATGTAACTCTCATGAAATTAAAAGTGTTCCCCCCCCCCCAAATGATACCCACTGCCACCAGATGGAGTATCCTTCCCAAGGTACAGCCTGAATCTGGGCTTTGTACCTGCTCAACTGTGTTTTAATGAGGACTTTTTTTTTTCTTTTCTAGAGGAATTCATTATGATTAATGTTTTATCAGTGAATTCCAAAGGAATTAATGGTGATTTGCCACTTAGTTTAAGGGGTTGCTGATAATTCTAATGGAACGAGAAATTAGGGTATTTAAATGTCTCCTGACACTTTTATTTAAGAGAAAAAAATATACAAGACTAATTAAAATCCCAAAGCACAATTTTCACCTTAAAAAATGGATAAAAGTTATAAAGGCCTTTTCAGAAGCATGCACCTGTGCAAAGAGTTCTACTACATGGGGGAAAAAACTGGCACTGATTAAAGAGTGCACAGAGTCCTCTGAGGGATCGGTGGGTTTTGCACAGCTTGGTGTGCCTTCACATGGAAATTATGCAAGACAACCCGATTCTTCTGGAAGCTGATCAGTATGCTCAGGTGTAACAGCAGAAGGGGTTGCTAGGCTTTCATATTTGCAGACTTAGAGTGAAATTCCTTCTTTCTCTCTTGAATATCAGTGGAGCAAAACACCATCATCAGAATTTCATTGCCCATGCACGAATCTACCCCTTTTCCAAACACGGTCTGGAGGGAGGTGGCAGTCTGGCAAGAGACTCCACGCATATGACAAAGTAGGCTTTATCACTCATCTTATCCTAGCAGACTCACCTGCTGCATGCCTAGTCCACATCTAAACATGCAGTAGCACCAACATCCAAGCAGCTTCAAACGTACGTCCTCCTTCGTCTTCCAAAGCAATGGAGGTTTTCTCTCAGCTTGTGCTACACAAAAAGGATGGGATGGGCAATGTTTGCTCCTGTATGATAGATAAATTTAACTTTTTTTCATTTAAAAAAATGTATGACTGCCACAGAGCAAAATAATCCATTGTTTTGGGTTACCATGCGAACCCTGGTTACAAAATGACGAAAACAGGCACTTCCAGCTAGACTGCAAAGTTCCTGAGTGAAGGAAAGTAAAATCGTGATAGCTTTATGAACTGAAACCAGTGAGATGTTGTTTTACAGATATTACCGATGCTTCTCGCTCTTAGGTTAGCTCACTGCTACTAAAGTAATACACGACAGTTCAGCCTCATACCCAGAAAAGATGTAGGCATTCCCCATGGCCAAGTATTTTCTGTGCCTGTCCTCCTCCATTCAGTTCTCAAATGATTTTAGACAAGGAGAAGTCATATTTCAGACAACTTAAACTGATCCAATTTTCAGAAAGCTTTGCACACGCAAAGCCAGGCCTCTAAAAAAGGAAAAAAAAATCAGTTATTGATGATTAACTCCTTGGTCTTGTATAACAAGAGTAAAACAGGACCTGTATACTTACACTTGGGTAGTGGGAAGATAAAATGCCACCTTTCTGATTTTTGCAACATCTGTATGTCTGTACTGAAATCAGCACAGAAAATGCAGAGTCCTGGGGAATTAGGACTCGTGTAACTGCCAGGATTTTTATAACATCGCCAGTTTAGTTATGTGATAAGCCAATCATCAACCTTTTCCCCTTCCAACTGAAAAGTTTTCATTCTTATCTGTCCCTGGTGCCTTCCAAAATCCCTCAGAGGTATCCATTTCGCACAAGACTTAACTACCCTGTGAGCGATATAGTTAAATAAGGAATTGGCAGTGCGCATTTGCAATTGCATTTCCAGCCTGAAATGTCCATTATTAATGACCAAAACAACTGTTGTATAATCAGCAAAGCTAGGGGGAAAAATACACAAGCAACGTTGCCTTGTCCTCAGAACTATTTTTATTAATATTTTGCTTTAACAAACATTGTAGTATGAAGGCATCATTTCTTTAAGTTTTCCAATATATGGCACAGACAAAAGGAAAAATAACAGACCCAGAGGCAACTTCAGCATGTAAATGACAGAATAACAGAAGAGGCATGTGTTAACCTATATAGCTATTATATCATCTATTAGAAGACGTTTTGCAAGCAACAGTCTACATTTATTTGCATTTAAGTAAAAACATATTTTTGTCTGATCAAGAAAATTACTTTTTTTTTAACTTTCCTTTATATCACAAATGTCAGGATAAGGCAAATCCTTAATGAATCATATGGTAAAAACCCCTATTCCCCAAGAAAATAGATCCAACATACTCTGCTAAGTTTGTCAGTTTTAAAAGCAAAGCAGGCATGCACCGCATATAGAGAAATGTCTTTTTTTTTTTTAATTAAGTGCATAAAGCAGAACAGTGTTAATTCACAAAGAGGCTTTTTCAGTGCTTTATAGAAAGATTTACAATTAGCTGCAGTGAATATGTGACCCAGTACTACAGACAATGTCTCAGACATCTCCTTTGGAAGTCTGTATGAAAGGAAACACGTCCATCATCAGAGCAGTCACTAGCTGGAGGATTATTGTGCCTAATTGTAGGGATGAGCACTTTCAAAAATAGGAGCTACACCATTAAAAGCAGAGTTTGATATTTTGTATGCAAACATCGGGTACTGAAGGGCTTCTGTTCTCTTCATGCCACCTACTGGGAACAAATTTTAGTTTTAAACCAAAATCCACAAGACTGGAGTTACTCCAGGTTTGATTCTTATTCTTCTACAGAGCCTACTTTCTGCATTTCTCTAGCTCCAGCAAAATCGATGGAGACTGCAATAAGGGGCCCTGGCTCAGCCGTAACTAAAAAACTCAGCCGGAGAACTCATACTGCCTAAACAGACCCAATTTATGATTAGTTAAAAAAAAAAAAAAAAACACCTGAAGAAAGAAAGAAAGATACAGGCATATCTGAAAACTGTACTGTAAGGATTTAATCATCAACTCATATGTTTTCTTACTTTACACTTCCTGCCTTGGCTTCACCCTCTGCTGCTGCATCCTCAGGCAAACGTTTCACAGTTCCAAAGGCTCGCTGCTGTTCAAGGAGCACGGTTAAGTGAAAATGGCAATGAAATTACTGTCAGGGGTTATAAGGAGAGTGTCTAATGTGAAGCAATTTTATAGTTAATTTTTTTTTTCCAATCAGTCTTCACAAGGCGTTAAAGGATTCTTTATCCCTCTCTGTACCCCACCGCACGGCCATAGTCAGTCTCCCAAGAGGCTCTTTCTTTGTCTCCCTCACCAAAACTGAGGCTTGCAACTGTCTGAGGGACACAGGATACGTGGCGAGCAGCAGCCTACAGCTCACTTAACATTGCACATGGCAGCAACATCATCAGAATTAGATGCAGAGGACTGGATACTCAGTTGGATAAATTATCATAGCTCTCCTGAGGTCAGCTAACACCAGCTGAGGACATGGCTGTCCAGGTTTCCCTAGATGTTTTGAACAGCTCAAAGCAACTCATTTTCCAGATTCACTCCCTGCCCCATGGAGCCCCCTTCCCTCACCTTCCTAGATAAAGGGAGCCCTTCGATCCTTGTCTTTTCCCAGGGAACACACAGAAGGAGAATTGATATGGGAGACACCTAATGCATTTATTCCCCTTCCACCTGAGACATTTTACCACTCCTCCCCTTTCTGTTATGACAGATTGATTAAACCAGAACCATCGGATACAGAAAACATAGAACAACATACGAGGTGTGCATCACGCAGATTTACAGTCCGACTGCAAAACTGGAATTGGCTGGAAACAAGGTGAAGGAACAGCAGGAAAAAAACTCACAGAGCAAAAGACACGTTCTGTCAAGCTAACAGGGATGGGAAAGGAAACGAGCACAGAGGCTTCAACGGGAACAGGGAGTCCAAAACGTGTGGCTAGAGGCATCAGATCTAGCAAATTTAGGATCACCGAGCAATACGGTAAAACTGATCAATAGGCTTAGTTCAGCTCATTTGTTTCTTCCAAAGCTGATCACCTTCAGAGTTACATATCCACCAACCTCCAGAAAGAAATCCGCGATGAAGCTGCTCCCTCAGATCATCTCCAACACTAGCGTCATGTAGGTCAAAATGCCACAGGAGCTGGCATGTGGAAATACCCTCCTGATCCCCCAGCAAGCAAATAGGCCAGAGCTGTGCACTGGAAAGCAGGAGGCAGTGCTTCTCGGGGCCATGTTCTCACAGTGAAATCTGGGGGGGGGGGGGGGGGGAGGAGAGGGTGTTAGTATTTTCCTCTCTAATCATTGTTTGTCTTGACACCCTTTCAAATCAATCAGCAGCTCAGAGCCATCATCAAATGCTATAGCCAATGGTATGTGCATTTAGGGCCACATTTTGCTCACAGTTACACCAGCATGAATTCTATTACCAAACCTACTATAGCTAGGATAAACCTAGATCACAGTAGGATGGATATATTTCCATGTCTTTTCACCTTGGGTTTTTTTTTTTTTTTTTCCCGGCCAGCTACTAAATAACTATTTGGGGATTTCTGTTTTTTTTCTAGGGGGGGGGGAAGGGGGAGAACCACAATTACTTTGTTTAAAATGCCCAGATTATTACCAGCAGCATTGTAAAATTCTAAGGTTTTGTAGCACATCATATCCTGGACACAGGCTGCATGTTCTTCCATCCTGCCTGCATATTGTCTATCGAGTTCATTTACAGCGTAGTTGAGAAATGTATGTTAAGACCTCTTTGTTCCTTTTCAAAAAATTTCAGCGCAGCATTTGCTGGCAGAACAATTGACATATGGCGAGACATTCTTATCCAAATAACTGTTAATTGCTTTTTTTTCTAATTAAAAAAAAAATCATGCATATGCAGTAGAAAATGTAATGAGGGCTCACACAAAATACAGTGTGAAGTTGTTAAAGCTAGAAGCCATATTTAAAGGTGTCTGGCATGCAGAATGCCTGTTATCCTCCATCACTCACAGGGTCAGGTAGATATCTGTTGCCTACTAGTATTTTAAGGACGTTCCTAGAGCACTGGTTTTGAGGTGCGCAGGCGTAACTAGAAAAGAGGGAGACTGACTTGGGGTACTGACTATCCAAGGCCACGCGCGTGATTTGTGTATGATATCCCTGCCAGGCCACGAACGGGCGCAGCACAAGGTGTACGCCGGGCACGTTTTAGCTTTAACGGGCCGCAGATACCTCCTTCGGGCTGGGAAGCAGCAGAGCGACAGGAAATCCCGCCGCACCGGGTCAGCCAGATGAGAGAGTTAATGCACGAACTCTGCCTCTCCCACGGGCCGAAAGGGCCCAGCTGGCGCCCGTGGCGGCAGGCAGGGCTCAGCCACGCGGCGCGCTGGCCGCTGATGGACAAGCCTGGAGGTGGGCTAGCAATATTTGGGAGATTTTGGAGCAGCTTCTCTTGCAAATCCCTAGCACAAGGAGGGTTGTTTTTATCAGTGTGTGCGGATTATAACCCTTTGTGGCAGTTTGTGTTCTCACAGCAAATCTCCGTTTATATCCTAGGGAACAGTTTAAAACCAAAACTGAAAAGGAAAAAAAAAAAAAGAGGGGAAGATAAACTTGCTCCCACAAGTTGCCTGCAGACAGTACCAGAACTGGGAAAGAAGATAAAGATGCTCGAAAAGGGATGGGCCCGGAAGGGCTAACAATATGAGCCGGGAGGAAGAAAAGAGACCTAATATAACACAGGAACTCATGGTTCAGAAGAAACTGTTGTAATTGCAGGGATGGTTGCAAAACAGTGTTAGAACTGGGAAGTTATGCTTCTTTCCAACAGGTTTACAGAACAAAATGCAATGAAGAACAAAGAGAAATTAAAGCAAGGAGTCATTTCCCCGTAGCTCCCTCCCCTCCCAACCCGCGGAGCACCTCTGCGTGCTCTTTTCTGCCGAGAAGTCGCAATGATGCCGTACGATGTCGGTGCCTGCCGTTCAGCCGTCGTCCGCTCTTCTCGTCTCGTGTTGGCGCTCCTTCGTGATGGGGACAGAGAGAGAGAAAGAAAAACGGCACTGTGCATCAAACTGGTATCAAAAGCCTTCACAGAACCAAAGTCGAATCTTTTTAACACACTTGTCTAATGTTTCCCTTTCCAGGCGCACGTGCAGACCTTGTACGTGTCATAAGATTTACATGTAAAAGATAGGATTATTTCTACAGTGTCTCACGTGAGCGTAGCACCCTGCAGGTGCGTAACCAGACAGCACTTCTCCTTCCCACCAAGGAAAAGCTGACAAGCTCCATGCACACTTCTGCCTTAACAGGCTACCATAACAATTAGCCAGTAGCTTCACACAACGCATTTATTCTCGGAGTCACCACTACCTTCTCCACCTCACAAAATGCTCCCCCAGCTTGTTGCCTCGTCCAACCACGGGACCGCTTGTGCCCAGCTAATCCACCTGCTCCCTTGTCACAGCTCAGCCCTGGTGCTGACCTAGGACTTACAGCCTCCTCCTGCCTTCCACATTTATTCCATTAGCAAGTCAAAGGTAATAATTGGCCTCCGCGAGGGATAAGAGACCAAGCGGCAGCCTGGCCTTTCTTCCGTTGGTATGACCCACGACCCATCAGTGCCTTCCTCCTCACGGTGCTCTGTGAACCTCTCCGTGTTTGCACAAGGACTTGCTTTCCCTGGCCCCAACTATTGTTTTACTACCTTCTTCTTCCCTGCTTCCTGACCGCTGTGTTTTGCACAGAAAGCAGCTTTTGGGCACGTTTTAAAAATCACAGCTTTTCTTCACTGGCAAACAAATACGTCCTACCAGCCACTACTAGCACCGTAGTACCAATGCGCCGTGCGGTGCCGTGAGGACACTGGCTCACCCAGACCTCACTCATCAGACCTAAAATAAAAATGCCCTGAAGAAGCTCTGATGTGATCCTGGAGTCCACAAGCTGGCCAGAACGTGCCAACAAACTGCGGGAGTCTCCGGCCGTGGTTTCAAGAGCAAGCACGGCCACGGAAATCGGGGATGCAAAGCAACAGTACTAATTAGGGTTGCTTTTTTTCCCATAGCAACATGCTACCTACTATGCCCTGTGTTTTCGCTGTCAGAGACCTCCCAGCTCCAGTAGGTGCCTTGGTGCCTACTAGGCCCTACTAGACACCTTGACCCTGCAACGTTTTTTAAAAATACTACATTAAAATACTAAAACAGTAGTACAGTAAAGGGATATCCTTGGCTCTCAAAGACCCTGGAGAGCACTGTGCTTTGAAGTTTAACAAGCTGATCAATCCTCCTCCACGGACCCACTCCTTGCAATTAAGGCAGTGGCAACAGGGTCAGGAGGACTTAAGTAGAGAGCTGGGAAGAATTCAATTCTTACTTCTAATCCTGTACGTGCCATTAAAATGCTGGGAAAGCCATTTTGTACCCCTGGCTCAGGCCCCTTTGCTTCCGAATACTGCCAGTATAGCCAGGCCTTGCAGTGGAATTGAAGAGATTTATTAATTCACTGCTAATTGTGGTATTATTCTTCTGAACTTCACCTTCATAAAGCAAAAAGGACTCCAACCCAAAACATTCCCAGACATTAATTTCCATGGGAGAATGCAGCATGAAATATAGACTTCCTTCAGATCATGCGAAAGCAGTAATAACTGTCATACAGTTTTTAAGCCAATGCAGGGTATTAACCTTTCAATGCATTTTTAACAGTGAGGATTTTACTGGTGTCTTTTCTTGTCTTTCCTTAACAGGGCAGAAAAACAGAAGCTAGGAAAGGGTAAGTAAACAGGAGAAACTGTGGAAGCTGTATTTTGGTTACGAAGGTTCTTTCTAGTTTTGCTTCAATACTTTTTAAGAGAGCCCCCATCAGCCATATTTCTCATTCCAGCAGCACGGCAGCATATTGTCAATATACTGACAAGGACAAAGGGGTATGCTCGGTAATAAGACCTTGTATTTTAAATCTCTGTGATACAGCTGCCACTGTTGTGAAGCTTCTATATTTGGTCTTGAGCTACATGAAATCCCATTACAAGCATAAATAACACATCTTGCTGTATATGATATTGGCATCTTATAATAACTCTCCACAGAGGGAGTGTTGCGTATTAACACTTTAAAACTGCATTGCTGAGATAGGAATCACAACTGCTTTTTCAGGCAGTTTGAGGGTAATTGAGGGTAGGCCTTGGACTTTAGTCTTGCTAGCAAATTAATCATTTTTATCTAGGGACGAAGCTGTTTATGTATATGAACAATTCTGCGGCAATAACAACCGTTGTGCACTCCTGCAATAGCACCATCACTCACTGTATAAAGCAGCAAGGCTCCAAAAAGCAGCTCCCTGACTTTGCTTTGCTTTACAGCAGTGTAGTTAGAAGTGACGTTAGGCATCGGAGAGCCAAGGGCAATAAACCCCTCATGACATGAACCTGTTGTTCCCAGAATACAGATTGCACAGAACTGAACTTGGTTCCAAGCAGTATAAATTGCTTGTCATTTTCCTAAGCAATGCCAAAAATTGTTCACTCAGTTACTCTTCCATTGCTTATCTTGGTGCTGTCTTGCCTTCTGATGATCTAAGACCATGCACTGTCTAAATCCGTTATAGTTGCAGAAAGCTACTATAATATTTACTTGACAACTCAAGTCTATTAGTTTTTTTTTTTTTTTTTTTTTTTTTTTAAAATATCTTAGATACTTCACTATTTTTTTTGTGTTTGTCTTGCTTTCTGTTTTTTTTTTTTTGTGAGGTCTAACTTTAATTATGGTCATTTCTAAATCTAGTTTTCAAATGGAATCTGAAGGGGAAACGCACGCTTGCTATGAAGGGGAAACAGCCATAAGTGTCTTACCTAGTAGTTAAGCTTCCGGCTCTGTTTCTGTACGGTCGTTTATACTTTCAACCTGACTATTCATTTCAGCTGAAAACAAAACAAGACAGTTGTCAAATTCTATCCATAATACATGTTAAGTTTATCACATTGAGTAACAACCGCTTCTAACCCAAAGGGGACAGAGTTCAATTATTGCATTAAAAATTCAATGCCATAGATCTGCAGAAGTGCCTCTTAGGCTAGCCATCTTTGTCTACAGTTACAGGGAAACCCTGACGAACCGTTCTGCAAGGGTGTACGCTCCAGTATCTCCAGAAATGCCAGCCTCCTGATCTAGCGTTTCCTTTTGGCCCAAATTCATCCAGTTTGACTTTGGCACCTAACTGAGGTGCCTAACTGAGCAGCTTAATCACCCTCCTCTGTCTCTGTAGACCACAGGCAGAGATACAGGTACCTCCAAAGGGTGATTTAGAGTTTCACTGGACTACGTGGTCTTGACCTTTGCCCATTACTACTGGAGCGTCACTGTGCCGTGGTTAGAGGGTTCAACAGATGCATAAGCATTTCTTAGCACCTGACAGGGAGGTTTTTCATATCAGCCATGCTAATGAGGTCTGCAGATCTCTTCACTTCCTTTCATCACCTCAGAAAGGATTCCTTGCACAGAGCCTTTGGCAGCGGTAGCCAAATTTTTGATTTGAACATCCTCAGGCTTTTGACTAAGTTCCAGGTGGGAACCTGGACTGAGCTGTGGCCTGAATGTGGCTCCACCTCTAATTACAGAGACGCTGCCTCAGGATGTTCTTCAACTGCAAATTGCTGTAGCCTACAAGAAGATTCAGGAGAAATATTCCTATACTTACTAGTGTACTATTAATTTATGAAAACAACCTTTTTTTTTTTTCATTTAAAATTACTGAAAACAAGACACAATTTAAATAGAAGGCTTAAATTCATTTCAATATGACTTTTGTCAAAAATGCCACATAAACTATGCCATGCGGGATCGGTCCTATCTAGACTGAATACAAAGGGTTTACTTCGGGAGATGCGTTTTTAGTATTAGCATTTGTTCTGGAATTAATTTTAATGAGGCCATTTATATTAATACTTCTTTTGAAAAAACTTTGTTTCATATTGTGGTATCAACTGCAGAATAACATACAGGTCATTTGTTGTGAGCGACAGGGTGAAAACCCAAATCTGAATGAAAGATTTAGAAATTAAGGGAAGATGACGGGGGGAAAAAACCAAAATCAATAACTGTGCTACTTTGAGCCAGGCAGTATGATCTCTGAGTCAATATCATGTCAATACACCTGTTAGGATTTTGATGAATTATTTGTAAATTATTCATCATACATATGCAGAACAGATAGTGTAATGGCTTCCTGGATGTATGCAATGAATAATAAGAAAAGTATCCGGCTCCTGATTATGGAGCTCTGATGCACATCGCATTTAGCTATGTTGTGTTCTTTATATGCATTTGCATAGCAAAGACAGGATGCTTAATAAAAAATCATTAAGGAAAGGCTGCTGCGCACTGATGACAGCAGCCTTGCTCAGCCTCATTATGTCAGCCAGTTTCACTGGCTTGGTTTTCTGAAAGTACCATAAGGCTTCGCTCACAATTTTACAGAGGTCGCTTTCAGAATGAAAGTTTCATTTGAAACCTGAGGTTAAGCTCTGTCAGCATCCAAAATGAGTATACCTCCTTTCCCCTGTTCCTTGTTAATGGTTACAAGCAGCCTACCCTGCTCCTGCAGGTAGCACACCATGTTCAGATGGCCAAATTACGGACTGCCCAGGCGTGCTTTAAAAGCAACCTCATCCCGTCCTTCTCATGCAGGAGAAACCCTGCAATGGGACTCAGGCTCTGCAAGCGTTCTGAAACCTAGAGCCCCCACCAGCGGGAAAGAAACAAAATCCCCAAATCGTATTGTTTTGCCAGTGGAAATCGCAGATGGGCATCTTGAATCACCGGAGAAAAAAAATGCACTGTACTTGCGGAAGCTGAGCGATTGCTCGGAAGTGCTACGGCACCTGCATGTTTTGTTATTAGCATTTTGCTGCGTTTGTGACTAAGCTCAGCTCTTTGCACTGATGCTGACAGGGACAGGAAGATCTTATAACTGAAGGACAAGCTTCTTCAGACCACTGGGTGAACCCAACAACAGATGTCACTGCACGGCCACCTACACAATCCTCTATATTTAGCTGGCAAAACAGCACAGCAATAGAGGACGTACAGCAAGCGCAGATGGAAGAACTGCCACTGGGAACGCAGGGGATGTGACTCACAGGCCAGCACGAGTTAGCGGCAGACCTACATGGTTAGCCCCGTGTGAGCTACATCCGTCCATATCACAAGCCACAAACGGCCTTCTCGCCTTTTACCAAGGTTTTCGGAAGCGTTAAACTCCTAACGTAAGTTAGCAGTCTTTTTACACCTGCAGCATCACAGTACAAAGGCCAGAAGGTCAGCATCTCAAGCTCAAGTTCAAGGAGGTTGCCCGTCTCCTAAATTCAGTTTTACCCGCTCCCCCCGCTGCAGGGAAGCATGGCGGGCTTTGCAGGGGAATCGGACCTTTCTCTGCGCCGTTGCGTTCTGGTTCCTCCTGAATGCTGACCTGCTGGGGAGTGCCTGTCCACACCTCCTCTCTCCATCTGTGAACTCTCTGGCAGCTCTCAGATGATGACTCGAGGGGGGTTTCCCCTCAAAAGCAAGCAAGTGCCCCCAAAGAGGAGCCGAGCGGTGCTGAAA